ATTGTTGATCCTCTTCTAACCATCCCTGGCTACTCTATATTGCGAAAAGACCGACAAGGTCATGGAAAGGCATAGCAGTCATTTATCGCAGCCATCTAAAAATCTGCAAGCTAAATGTCTCCACCGAACTCGAAGTTCTATGTCTTGATCTGTTTATTAAAAAGTCAAAAACCGCTCCTCCGACTCATTCTCTGCTACCATCCCCTGCATTCTCAGTCCTTCCAATCATTGCTTCAATTTTTCCACAAAATTCTTGTAAAACTCAACTATGCCTTATATTATCCTTGGCGACCTAAATGCCCCACATATTGATTGGATAAAAAAGTCCACGAAATGTAATAATTGTCAGGAGCTGGTCCGTTTTGCATCCAAAATGGGCCTTTCCTGTAACTGGTCACAACTCCTACTGGATTCCACAATATTCTGGACCTTGTCCTCACCCCACTCCCGGGCTAATCGATCTCCTTGGATGTTGGGGAGCCTTTCAGCGACGTTTCCGGTCCGTCACACATTTAATATTGTGATGAGTCACTTTGTCTTCGACGGTGTCCGGAGAAAAAGATTTCCACCAGGCCGACTATGAAAAAATGAATGCAAGAATCGCGGGGTGAACTGGCTTTTGGGAATTTCAAGGTGAAGGAAATGCTGAAGAGCTGCAAAAATGCTCAATAACTTCTTTGCTGAACTCTGTTGAGGAATTTGTTCCGCTAAAAAGCCTACAAAATGCGACCCTCCGCAAAAATCACAGTTTTCCACAAGAAAAAAGCTCATCTTTGGTACCCTTGGCAACACTATTGAAACATAAGAATGTGGTCCAAGAGCTAAAAATGGCTCTCAATGAAGAAAATATGCATAAAGAGCTAAACTTTGTGGATAACAGCTCCATGCTTGATAGAATGAGTGCAGCCAAACGATTTTATCGGCACGTCAAATCAGTGGTCAGACCTCCATCTGCTATCCCTTCCCTATCCGGAACTAACAATGAAATGGAATCCACTGATGGTGAAAAAGGCATAAATTCTCCAAACTTATTTCTCTGCTTCTTTAACTCATGCCTCATTCACCCGAACCTACTTTCCTCGACGGACAAACGAATCGCTCCAATTTCTTGACCTTGCCCTCATACCAATGAGAGGCTCATTATGACGTCACTAAAGCCGAAATTTAACAAAACATCAGATCCGGTCCCAGCCTATCTGGTAAGCATTGTGCTACATCTTTAGCCCTGCCTTTATCTATCATCTTTAATCGTTCCATCGATACGGGAACTGTCCCATCTGGGGCTAAAAGATAAGGTATATAGAGCCGATCTACAAAAGGGCAAGAAGTCGGACCCATCAAACTATCGTCCAATCAATCTAGACAAAGTACATTTCCAAGATCATGGAAAAACTTGTCAGACGTACGATTCAAGACTTTCTTCAAACTAACCAACTGTTATCAGAAAGGCAGTTTGGCTTCCCGTCCCAAAGGTCCACAACCTCCCAGCTATTGAGCCACATTCAAAGTCTATTACTGGCTGAAGATTTGTCTCTTTTTCAGACGTTATATACAACGATTTTTGTAAAGCCTTTGACACCGTTAATCACAACAGATTGCTTCTAAACCTGCTAGCTATGGGATTGAAGGACCACTTCTGAATTGGATCCGATCCCGGCTATTAGAGCGGTCAACAAATGGTCCAAGTCAGCAATTGTTATCTAATCCAGCCCTAGTTATCTCCGAAGTACCCCAAGGCAGCGTCCTAGGTCCCTTACTATTCGTTATTTTCATTAACGACCTAAATGATGATCAAAATCTGCCCGATGGGCTACTCTCTTTGCGGACGACCTAAAATTAATCAGCCACTTTGGTCGGACCACGCCCTCTACTTTGCCTGAACAGCTGCCATAAATTGGAGAAATGGGTTGCTGACAATCAGCTATTCATTGCTATCCCTAAATGCGCGTCTATGCACTATGGGAAGCGTAATCCTAAAATTTGCTATTCTATTAATGGGCCAGATATTAGTCTCAGACTACACAAATACGTGATTTAGGTGTTCTACTGTCCAATGATTTCAGCCTGTCACCACATGTTCTTATGTCACGAAGAAGGCTGCGCGAGTTTGCTTTTCTTCTTTTTTAAAATTTTTCGTAGTCGACTCTCTAGTTTCTCTACAAAGGCTTTCAATGTTTATGCTCGACCTATACTTCTGAGTATGCCTCACCTGTTACCTCCTCCCTTTAAAAAAGATCGCGTTGCAATTGAAAGTGTACTTAAGGATTTTATTAGAAAAGTTTGCTATCGATGTAGGGTTGATTACAAGTCTTATCGTTCGGCAACAGAACACCAATCTCAAAACCGCTGAACTATAGGAACACAATTGCTGACTATTCCTTCCTTTATAAACTCCATAAATACTCTTCTAATGTTTCTACAAGCTCATTTTTAGTATCAATTCTTCTTCCACTCGTGGCCTCCCCTACAAACTACGATCCCCAATATCGTCCCAAAATCCTACCACAAAAGCCTCTTTAGCTCAAGAACCTGCTCACCTGGAAATTCCCTCCCCTTCAATCGTCTCTGCTTCATCATGCGAAAGTTTTCATAAAGCTGTATCCAAACTCATCTGGCGGATTATGTAATTATCTTAACCTTTATATCACCATGCCCCTATTCCTCATCATCATTGGCTTTTTCTTACTTTTCTTACTCCTCATTCCATTTTTTTTCCTCTTTCCTTTTTTTCAAACCATATTCCCTCACTTTTAAGCGTTTCTTATTGAAACCTTTTTGTTGAATAAATTATTATTATTTATTATTTATAAAATGTGGGTTACGGTAGCGCGCAAATGAAGAATTACGGCAGAATTACGGCAGATTAATAATAACAGAATTTCAGAGCGACGTGATAATAAGTAAAACTTCATCGCAATTTTGGTGCTTTCCCATCATCGGGGGAATCTTCTGTATAAGTCTAGAAATGTCAATTTTGGTGCTTTTCCATTATCGGGGGGCTTTTGATATAAGCTCAGAAATGTCTCGTAACTTAATAGGTAGGGTAATTTATTAGTGTTATTTTTGGTAAAATAAACCCATGGTTAAATTAAAAAAACTATCTAAGAAGTCTGGAAAAGTCGAAATTTTTTGGTCGATCGGAAATTTTTAGGCGAAACAAATCGGAATTTTCACCTTTTTTACCTAGGTTCTTGGCTAGTTCCAATCGCCAGGAATTCGAGGGTTCCGGAAGGTTTCGAAATAGTTAAAAAGCATCTAGAAACAATTCCGCTATTTTTATTTAAAGAAAAATTCAAAATTCGACCAAAATCCAGGCAGAAAAGTTGAAGATACCTCCGACAACATAAAATTCCCTGAAAATGGCCGAATTCGGACAAAATACGCAAAGCACGGCATTTCACGGACCCCCGAAATAACAACCCTGAAAATGAATTTATTTGCATCTGATTATCCTGGAATTAATCATCGAAAGTCCTTCATAAAATACGGCATTAAAAAGAAGTCTCACTACTCGTATCTTCCCCCAACAAGATGGCAGCCGCCGCGAAGCCGTCGACGGCTCTTGCGGACGCGTCGCGGCTGAAGACTGTCACCACAAAGACCGTCACCACCAAGACGGTCACCACAAAGACGAAGCACGCTTCCACCTCTCGAAATGTCTCCAACACCAAGACAAAGGCCTACAAGAAGAAGGGCAAGAAGAATCGCATGGCCGTCGCCCTTGAGGGCAAACTTCAGGAGCAGAAACGGTAAGAATTTTCTTTCTTTTTTTGGTAACCGGACTGTTAGCGGGGGCGGGCAGAATTTAGGCATTTTCTGCAAAAAGGAGAATAAATCCATTTTCGCAGAGCTTTGGCATTAGGCATTTTCTGCAAAAAGGGAAATAAATCCATTTTCAGAGAGCTTTGGCATTACCGGGGCATCTTTGTACAAGGTCAGAAATTCCTAATAAATTAACCTAGAGTATTTTAATATTGTTTTTGGTAAAATTTAACAATATTTCGAGTTGGAAAATAACAAAAAATCTTGCAAAACCCTTTTGAAAAACTACTTTAAGGAACTAATTTCCCATTTTTGGTGGCAAAATCGAAGTTTTTGTATTTTTTTAGTCCACTTTGTAAAGCTTTTACGGTACAAGTAGGATAAGCGGGGGGGGAATTTTGAAGTGGGGGAAAACCAACTTTTTCCTGGTCGGCCCTGGTGGGATAGTAATCAAATATAAAGTGTTTTCACATTGTTTTTTAGCGAAATTTAAGCCTATTTGAACCTGAAAATTTTTTTAAAAGTTAGAAAAACGTTTGAAAAAGTCGAAAATTTGGTCATTTTTGGGCCGAAAAAATAGATTTTTAGACCTAAAATTAAATTCTTTAATTAAGTTTTGTAAAGTTTTTATGTTTAGGAATAGCTATAAACAATTTAGAAACACTTCCATTATTTATATAAAAAAATAGGCTTGAGCGGAAAAAAGTTCAAGTTCCCCCGCCTAAAATTCCCCCGCTTTCTATCCTACCTGTACCTGCTTTTACGTTTAGGGAAGAGAAAAAAAATTAGCAACACTTCTGCAATTTTTTATAGAAAAATTTGACACCAGAGAAAGTTTTTTCCTCTAACACTTCCCAAGTGATAATGCAAAAGAACCAAGATGACAATAAATCCATAGACCAGCCAGCCTTGTCCGGTCCTTTAAACTCCAAAATTTTAGGCAGCGAGCGATCGCCGAGGAGCCTGTTCAACACCCCTGCTCCCAACAATTACCTAAAGAATTGGGGATGATGGGAAATGACCAAAACCCAAATTTCCGAATTTCTAAAAACTGCAAAATATTTAAAATATTTTTTGTAACTTTCTGGCAATAAAAAACTACGAAAAACATCATAAAAATGCACTACATATACTTAGAGATAGATATAGATGGAAAAATCAAGAATTACACAAGTGACCGGCTAAAATCCACTCCCCGCTAACGCACCAGTACCTCAAATTTCCAGGCATCTCCCCTAATGAACGAGTGGATGATGCTGAAGATGTCCGCGTTCGCCTTCATCGCCATCAGGCAGTTGAGGGTCGTCATCTGCTTCCTCCTTAGCCACCAACACCAATCCGCCACGTTGGTATGGTTCAACGACAGCTTTCGGGAGATGAACATCTCTCTCAGAAATCGGCGAAATCGACGGGAGTGGTGGCCGCGTGTGCAAAGGGGGATACACGCTGCTGCCGCTGCTCTTGCTCAGCTGGTGTACGCAGAATTACCAGGTAAAATGGTCCTAAGGAATCCCTGCTAGCCTGCCTTTTACCTAAAGAATCTCTGCTAGCCTGCCCTTTCCTAAAGAATCTCTTGCTAGCCTGCCCTTCCTAAAGAATCTCTGCTAGCCTGCCCTTCCTAAAGAATCTCCTTTAGCCTGCCCTTTCCTAAAGAATCTCTGCCTTGCAACCCGCCCTTTCCTAAAGATCGATCTCTGCTAGCCTGCCCCCTCATAAAAATACCTCGGTTCTTCCATATTATCGGGGAGGGGGTAGAAAAATTTGTTCTTAATTACGAATTTTTTTAAATATAAATAGCGAAGGTGTTTCCTAAACTGTTTTTTACTTTATCCCGAAACGCATAAAAATTACAAAACTTTATTAAAAAAACTCACAAAAAAATCGATTTTCGACCGGAAATGACCGTTCTTACAAAATTGCGACTTTTGAAAAATTTCGAAGTTTTAGATAGTTTCCTAGTTGAAATATAGCTTTATTTTACTAAAAAATTATTAAAATATTTCTTATTAAGTTTCTAGGCATTTCTAGATGAATAAAAAACTGTTTACCCCGCCCCCGCCGCCCCCTCCCCCCGATAATGCGAAAGAACCACCTAAATAATCTCTGCTAGCCTGCCCCCTAATAAAATTGATCTCAAATCCAGATCTACTACACGCTGACGAGCATCGGCGAACCGTATCGATCCCCGACGTTCCATGCGATACTTGGCCAGGTACTGTAGAACCGTAAAAATTGCAATACTGTAGTCATACCGTAACCCCCGGAATTCAGATCCCGATCGCCCTGGTCGACATGTCAATCCTCGGCGTCACGTGGTACTACTTCACTTGCACCTGCTACCGTAAGTCCGCCTATTTGAAAAATGCCGAAATTTGGTGCTTTCGCCTTATCGGGGGGGGGGGGTACCTTTTTTGTAAGGATTGAATTTTTTGAATATAAATGTGATTTACCATCCCTAATCGTCACAATTTCTAGCAAAAAAAAATATAGATTTTTCGACTCAAAATCGCCGATTTTCGACAAAAAAATTGTAGAACGCTTTCTAGATAGTTTTCTCGCTGGAATCCAGTCAAATTAAGAACACGATTAAAATATACTGATTAGTACGTTACTAGACATTTTAGACCCATACACCCCGATAATGCAGAAGCACCTCCATAACGTTGCTAAGGCATTTCGGAATTCAGAAAATTCCGTAGTGAATGAGGGGTGAGAGAGAGAGGCGTGAGAGTGAGAGAGAGAGAGAGAGAGAGAGAGAGAGAGAGAGCAACGACCCTATTCAGCTATGTGTACTTCCCGTTCATTCTGGCCTATGTGAGGCCCCCAATGGTATTCCTGTGGCCGCTGGGGTTCGTCGCCTGGTACAGCACTACGACTTTCCTCAGCAAGCTGCTTCGGTGGGTAGTTCGGTGATAAGTGCCGATACGCCCCCCCGCTAACGAACCAGATCCCAAAAGCTATATAACGATGCCTTCTCGATCCCTTTCAAACCAAAAAAATATCGCGTACGCAACACTACGCATTCCAGCAACCCGTGCATCCGACTCGACCATCTCGTCGTCAACCGCACCGAGCGCATCGAAATCAAGGTAGGCTGAGCGAAAAGCACTTCAAAATTTTTCGCCGCTCTTTGGCATTATCGGGGGGTCAACTTTTCCAGGGGTTAATTTTTCAAATATAACTAGCGGATGTGTTTCTAAATAATTTTATCACTCTTACTAAATGTAAAAAAACTACAAATATCTCTAAAAAATACAAAATAAAACTCATTTAGACAGCAAAATAAAAAATACAACCCGTTGTGAAGAAATACAAATCAAAAATTTTTGAATTCTTGCTACAGCACGCTAAAAATACCGATTTTTCGACCAAACATGGAAAATTGTTAAACGAAATTTCGCCTTTTTGCCTACAGCTTTATTTTTAAAAAAATTAAAAAAAACTAGCTAGTAAACTAGAAGGCCTTTCTAAACTTGTACAAAGAATTCTGCCGCCCCCACCCCCGATAAGGCGCAAGCTCCCACAAGAATAAAAGCGCCAAAAAATGCAAACATTTGCAGAAAAAGATCGTGAAGCTGGCGAAGGAGCTGGACGCGAAAGATATGGCACAGGAGGCGTTGGACGCGATCGGGACGATCCCGGCGCCGGAAGTGGTGACCGTACCCCCAGAAGGAATGACACCCAGGGCATGGGAGGCAAAGCAGAAGCGGAGGAGGGATATGAGGGAACTACTCGAGAAGATGCTCAACGGCGAATCCATCGACGTTAAGGAGCCGCCCAAGAAGGTCAGTGGCACCGGTTGCTTAACGGGGAGGGGGGCGCAACCAACGCCATTTTTGCTCAAAAACGAATGAAAATCTTCGAAATTTAAAATTTTGCGGTACAAGTTGCTTACTGGGGGGAGGCCATCAGAATATTACTACTTTCGAAAGTACGTGCTTTTTGTTCAAAAAAAGCATGAAAATGGTCAAAATTTCGTCATTTTTAAAATAGAGCCTCCGAAAAGGGAACATCGAAAAACTCGTCAAACTTTGAAATTTTTGAAGTTTTCGGTAATGATTGCTTAACGGGGGATTTTCGATATTTTGATCGATAATCGGCCATTTTGGCAAAAAATGCATGAAAATGATTAAAATTTAAAAATCTTGTAAGGAGAACCTCCCAAAAGGAACAAGTTGCTTAACGGGGGGACTAATTTTGTTTTTCTAAACATTATCCTGCTTTTTTAAAAATTTCAGCTGAAACCCCCCCGCTAAGCAACTGTTACCTCGAATTTTAAGGCCGACAAGGACAAGAAGGACAAGAAGGATAAGAAGGACGAAAAGACGGAGAGGGAGAAGAAGAAGGAGCCCGAGAAGAAGAAGACCGACAGCGGCGAGGTGGTCATCAACGAGATCGACGTCGACGGGCCGCCGACCACGTAGATGAACAACATGATGAAGAAGGAGGTGGACAACGACGGAACGACGACGATACTGAGCAATACAATATTTCGGTCTTTTACCCTGGATCCATGCACATTTTGATGGATAAAGCTATTCGATAGTTTGGGCGGGTTTTCAAGGAGTACAGGCTAGAGAGAGGGAGAGCGAGAGGGAGAGAGGAGAGAGAGATATGGCAGCGAAAAACTAATTTGCATACGCCTTGAAATACGCCGGAAGTGGAATTTTTCGAAATTTCCATCAAAATCCAGGTACAAAAGAAAATCGGCACTTGAAAAATCCCTCATTTCACTCCCCGCCAGCCGAACTTGACGGAGATGCCGCCAAAGTCGAAGCAGTCGCCCGCCGGCAAGAAATCGAAATCGACAGAGAAGAAGCCGTCGACACAGAACAAGGTCCAGGTTCCAGCCGCCGCCGCCGCTGCCCCCAAGAAGGAGGAGGAGAAGAAGGAGGAGGGAGGCAAGGCTTTTTTACGGATTCTAAAGCCTTGCTCAAAAAGTAAAATAGCTCTTGCTCAGTAGTTTGTCGCGGGCGGGACTCGAACCCGGGTCGTGTGGGTGATCGGTTAGAGCACAACCATTTGGCCAGGATGCACGGCTTTCCTAAAGAATCTCTGCTAGCCTGCCCTTTCCTAAAGGATCTCTGCTAGCCCGCCCTTTCCTAAAGAATCTCTGCTAGCCTGCCCTTTCCTAAAGAATCTCTGCTAGCTTACTTTTTATACTAAAAATAGTGAACTAAAAAATATGCAAAACTCGTGTAAAACCCCCAATTTCAGACTACGAGATGCTTTACCCCGGGCAGGGCACGTAAGAGACGACGTGCGCCTGCCCGTCCGTCCGTCCGCCCGCTCCAACCCCACCGAGCCGTTCAGCCAACTATTCTCGCCCACCAACGACGACAAAAACATACAATTCTCATCGCGCCGAAAATCGCTATTCCATTCTGGTTATTACAATGTTAATAAACGGTTACTTACAATGGGAGGGTGCAGGAAATGGCAAAATACAAGCTACAACTCTTAAAAATGCACGATACAAACTACCAAACGCTACAAACACCGCCATAATGCTGTAGATGAACTGTAAATTTGTAAATTTTATTGCCGAAAAACGAGGCCTAAATTCGAAAAAACAACATCTAGTAAATCACAAAAACACCCTATAACTGGATTCTATTAAAAAGTTGTCCCGATTCTCGCCGAGCTGCCGACGTGGCACAGAGACGCCGTCGGCATCGCCGGGCATGAAGTGTGCGTTGCGGAAGGTGGCCTCGCTGTCGGGGATGCCGAGCCTTGAAATGGCACAGTTAGGGAAGTTCGTCAAGTTCAAGGTGTTCAGAAAAATCCTACTGCTACTGGACGTTCGCTAAAACTGGCTAGGCGTTACGCAGCGCTGCCCCACAAAAATAAGGCTCGGGCGGGCTAATGCCGTCAACATCGAGCTGGTCAGGTCTTGCTCTAGATGCTTGAGCCAGAAGTTAGCCAATAGCAACATAAAAAAGCGTCAATGAACTCTGCTAGCCTGCCATGTTCGAAGTAAATTTGCCCGAGTTTCGGCGATTTCAGGTCGTTCAACGGAAACGCTAGCTAGATCCTACTTTACAACGCACTACGCTATAATTTATAGGCTTAGGTGGATGAGATCGTCCAGTTCAACGAGGTCGCCAAGGCAAGCTAAGCTGTAGATGCTGACCGGCAGGCGAAAATGAACACCACCTAGCTAGCGGGCCAAAAAGTAGTCGAAAGTTCATAATGACACCTTGAGCTGAATAATAGGCGAGTTCGAGGCGTTCAGTCTAATCGCTGGCAAGATAAAAACTGTGCGACGCTTCACTAATACAGTATGAGACAGTTACTGCCGTCAAGGCGGAGCTGGCCAGGTCAAGGTGTAGATGAACAGGCTGGGAATATTAAAAAAAGAAGGGAATGTAAAATAAACTCACTAAAAAATATTTAAAAAACGCTGGCTAGGCTAAGTTGTAGACGAACAGGAAGGACATATTCTATTAGAAGAAGAAGGAAAATTCGCAAATGAACTCTGCTAGCTTGCCCGGCTCAAAAGAAATAGTTTAAAGTGTGGGTAAAAGGCTATAAAACGGTATTTTAGCTCGAAGTAGATAAGTTAAACGTCTTGAGCCAGCCGGTGCGCCCGGTCCCAAAAAGTCAGAATTGCACGAAAATCTCATCTACAGGAAGACCGGAAATACACCAAGTCAAAAATTCACCTCTCCAGCGTGTGCTTGGCGAGTCGGGGGACGATTGGTGACAGGAGTATCGAGCCGATCCGCAACGCCTCGAAGACGACGCACAGCACCGAGTCGCGCTGAAAAAACGGGGGTTTTTGGTAAAAGTACAGGAACCATAAAAAAAGACATAAGAAGCCTCAAAAGCTCACCTTCCGCTCGTCCGGCTCCTTCATCAGCTGGGCGCTCTCCATCGTGCGGGCGGCACGCTTCAACAGCTGCGTGACCTGCTCGATGCCCTCGTAGAAACGGAGCTGATCGTACTGCTGCTCGACGGAACCTGAAAATCACATGAAAATTTAGGCTTTAAAACTTAAACATTGCAACTTAAAAATTTACGGCGTAACGGGGGGCGGCAACTTTTTTCTAAGAATCCAATTTAGTAACAGAAATCGAAGAAATTTTAAACTGTTTTTGCTATTTCTAAACGCAAAAAAACCTCACAAATTCTGATTACAAAATTAAAAAAGCCAGATTTTTCGACGGAAAATGCCGCTTTTCGAAAAAAAACGATTAAAATGTTTTCTAAGTTTTTTACTCAAGATATACTCAAATTGTACTAAAACACTATTAAAATATACTAAAATCATTAAATACGCAAAAAATGTTTGAAATTTATGAAATGCCGACAGTATGATAGCCAAAAATTTACCCCTGATCGCGTTCAGCTCGCCGATCAGCTCTTCCACGTCGCGCGCGCACTTCTCGGGCGGGTTGGAGTAGACCGGATACACTTGGCGCCCATTCCACCCGGCATAAGTTGCTGATCAAACACAAATTACCATAAAATTCCGCAAAAAACCTCGCTTCAGCAGACTGCCAATAATCTTGGCGAAGACGCCGTTGAGCAGGTGGACGGCGTTGTTCTTGCTGAAGTCTGGAACAAGCGTGAGCATCTCCCGGAAGCAAAAGAAAAGCTAAAAATGAGGCAAAAACGTACTGCAATTATCGCGGAGCACGCCGCGGCTGAGCAGGAAGAAGCGCACGCCGTCGCTGCCCAACGTCTTCACCAGGTCGAGCGGATCGACGACGTTCCCGACGCTTTTTGACATCTAAAAAATATTTTAGGAAAAAAATTCTATGTATACCTTAACTCCATCAACCAGCCAGTGCCCGTGTACGAAGATCTTCTCCGGGATCGGCAACTTCAACGCCTGCAAGAAGGCCAGCCAGTAGACGGCGTGAAACCTCAAAGAAAGCGTTCCAGGGCTCGAATCAAAAACTCCCAACCTAACAATCTCCTTGCCGATGATCTGGCAAGTGGGGGCGGGCAGTTGCATGGCGTCCGGGTAGCCGTTGACCGTCAGGTAGTTGGTGAGCGCGTCCAGCCACACGTAGATCTGGAAATGGTTTTTTACACAGAAAAATAGAAAAACAACAAAATTATCATTTAGAAGTTCCGCTTTATCTGGCGCAATTTTTTGTATAGATTTTCGCGGCGGTTAAAAAAAACAGGCTGCCCAGAAAATCCAACGGTGTTTTATCCAATTTTCCTCTATTTTTATCGCTTTTTGGAACCAGAACCGACCGGAATTCAAGCAAAATAGACCCAAACTCCGCGCTTGACTCACGCAAAAATCGCATAATTCGTTTCTACAGGGTGAGGCATATATATCGCTACACATTCCGGGTCCCTCAAAAAAGTATTAAAGCGAGCCGGGCTTCAATATTTCGCTGTGATATAGCTACATGTGTCCTTTCGACACTCTTAAAATCTTATAACGCAACAACCCTATAAACACTTGTTCTGAAGCAAAAACTGGGCGTCTTTAGGTGGGTCTGGCACGGAACCCCTTGGCGGTCGATTTCGGCATGGTTCGGAAACATTGATTTGGACCCGAATGACCCCTAAAAAACTTTGTACTACTTAGAAATTGTCTAAAAAGACAATGAGACCAACTTATTTCTTTTCATTCGGCAGCAAGTTAAAACTTTGTCTCAGCTGGTTGCAAAAACCATAGTAAAAATATAAAAATATATTTTTTTGACTTGTACTCGTTCAATTTCTTGGTTTTATCATTGGGAATTGCTCGTACCGGATGCCTAGAATTCAAAAAATTGCTCGAATCAAAATATTCAGGTGGCTTAGATTTTCTGATTAATTTTTAGTAGCCAACAAAAGGGTGGGGTGGGGTGTGTAATCACTCCTTTTTTTAATGTAGTAAAATTCCCTCGCTAGTTTCCGACTAAAAACCTATTGGAAAAGATAAATAAGATCCGACTGAACCAGAATACAAAAAAACTGAACCAGAGTTACCAATATACGGGGTTCTAGGAGCAGCGTGCCAACACACCATTTTTTCGAGAAAAGCGCTGAACTTCCCTGTAAGCTAAACCCAAATCGAAACAATTTTCAACCATTTACATTTATTTCCTGCATAAAGAAACGCTAGTTCTTCGATAGGAAACATCGATTACCCCGAAAATATAATCAGTTTCCCGCTGGCAGACAAATTTGTGCGTGCTAGAGGTGTAGCGATATATATGCCTCACCCTGTATTTGAGGACGGCGTTTCAGCACGCACCTACTATGGAGCAAGAACTTCTTTTGGCGCCAATACGAGCCGTTTTATCAAAAAAAACCAGCAGAATTTTTGGCTAAAAATAACGCGCAAACAGCTTTACAAAAACAAGCTAGAAAAAAAGCTACAAAAAACGCAGCGCCTGTCATTTTCTAGCCTTCCTAATAGCGCAAAAATTATTGCGATGCCATTTCTCAGCTTCCAGAGTACCGTAATAGCGGCGTTCAAAATATCAGCTTGCTAATAAAAGCAAAAATATTTGAACGCAAAAAAATGCGCCATTTTCTGGGCTTTCCAACGCTAGAAAAACCATTGCGATCCATTTGCAGCGCCTAGGTACGGGCAATTTACCGTCTGCTGCGGATCGTCGGGCACCGGGATGCCCCACTGCAGTCGCGACGAGTCGCGCGACACCGACAAGTCATCCCGGCTGATGCTCAACTCCTGGAGAGCGAGGCTCTTGTAGTGGTCCGGCTGGATGAGGTCTAGAAAGTAAATAAATACCGAATATTCACGATCACTCACCTGTTTCCAAAATTTTTCTGGTCGATTCCCGGAATTCGCTGAGGCGGAACATGTAGTTCGTCTCCTCGACCCATTCAACTGGCGCCTTCGTTTCTTTGGCGATCTGAAAAGTAGTTTAAGTAAAATTTAACTATATTTTAAACTGAAAAACACTAGAAACACTTCGAAAAATTTTTAATTGGGATTTTGGTCGCAAATAGGTAAATTTCAGTAGAAAAATTTATATTTTTGTATTTTTCAATCAAAATTGTAAATTTTTATTATTAGCAATAGCAAAATACAGTTTAGAAATACTTCCTCTATTTATATTAGAAAAATCACGTCCTAGGAAAAGTTAGTCCCCCGTTATTGCGAAAGCACCTAAAAGCAAATGCCAAAAATGCAGAAAACAATCAAAATACCGTAATCTCATTCTTGGCTTTGTCGCGCGTCTTGGTCACCTCGGCGTCGGTGTAGAAGCACTCGTCGACGATGCTGTACCAGCCGCCGTAGGTGCCCTTGTAGATGAGGCCGGCGTCGGCGAGGCGTTTCTGAAAGAAAATTAGATTTTTGCTAAAGATAAAACCGCTAAATAAAAAAGCTTTATTGATACAAAAACTAAAACGATTCTTTTACCGTAATTTAGAGCCATTTTTAGTATTTATTAGGAGAAAACAGGAATTGGATCCGCAACGAAAATATGAGACCCAAAAAACACCAAAATTTGCATAGCCACTAAAATTAGCATTTTCATAGCTTGTTTTCCGCAGATTTCCGCACAAAAACAGGGATAAAACCAAAAATACAGCCCAAACACGTTCGTTCTCTCGCCCCACCACCCGCCACCAGAACTTGACGGAGATGCCGCCAAAGTCGAAGCAGTCGCCAGCCGGCAAGAAGAAATCGACAGAGAAGAAGCCGTCGACACAGAACAAGGTCCAGGTTCCAGCCGCCGCCGCCGCTGCCCCCAAGAAGGAGGAGGAGAAGAAGGAGGAGGGAGGCAAGACTTTTCTACGGATTCTAAAGCTCTTGCTCAAAAAGCGAAAAAAAAATGGCGTCGGTGGGTTCGAACCCGGGTCGTGTGGGTGATAGGCTAGGGCACAACCATATGACTAGACAGCTAAAAAGCTAAAACTGCGAATTTGGGGCTTCTACTTTACACTTTAAAAAATTCTATTTGGCTAGGAAAAGTTAAAAAAGGAATTTTATGCTACAAAACAAAAAGTCAAAACCTTGCCGCGAACGGGATTCGAACACGGGCTGCTCGGTTGAACGGCTCGAACATCTCCAACTGGCTAGAAAGTTAGAAAAACTCCAAAAAATTGAAATTGCAAACAAGCAGGCCAAAACCAAAAATTTTGTCGCCGACGGGGCTCGAACCCGAGCCATATTGCTTCTAGGCTAAATCACAACCAGTTACCCAAACTGCGTGCTACTTTTTAACGTTAAAAAACTTCAAAATATCACCAATACCCGCGAATTACAGATTATGAGATGCTTTACCCTGGGCAGGGCACGTAAGAGACGTGACACCCCGCCCAGCTCGACGTCGCCACGGCCCCCGCCCGCTCTTCAACAACAACATATTGATGCCCATCCATCACCGCACAATCACACATTATAGAATCTTTTCGGTTACAACGTGTCTAGTTTAATAAATGGTTAAATGGGGATCCTGCTCACCCAGACTGTCTGCACTGTTTGCTTGTGCCGATCTTCTGTGGTCCGGATGTAATCAGTGTAGAAGATGTCGAACTGGTCGAAAAGCCGCCGGAAACTGCCGGAAACATCTTGACAATGCGCCGACGGGAGCACGTTCTTCTCGAGGGCCGCTTTTTGGATCTACAAGAAAAGGAATAAAGCTTTTTGAAGCTCTCCAACCTTCGAGCCATGCTCGTCGGTGCCGGTGGAAAAGAGGTGACGGTCTTCTGGGGCTCGCAGCTTCTCCCATCGATGCGTTGCGTCGGCGAGCACGGCGCTGTACAGGTGGCCGAGATGGGGCGCTGGAAATAGACGAATTACATTTGCCAGAAATCAACAATCGCAAAAATGTCATTTTTTGATGAAAAGTTGAATGTTTTAGCCATGAATGTAATAAACATTATACTTTTCAGGCTTTATCCACTAGCACCAGCCATTTTGACTCTTCAAAACCCCCACAATTTAGTGCCTAAACAAAACTATTCAAGCTTCGCGGCATCTTCCTATTTCTTTCTCCCGAAAAATCGTGACGTTGCTATTAATATGAACGAATACAACGAAATTATATTTTGACAAGCGTCATCTACTCGCAAAAGTTTGTTTTCAAGCTTCATCCACTTGAATAAATACAATTCTACAGCCTGTCGTTTGCTGCATTTCCGAAACGCCTTAAAAATCGTGAGTTCCATATTAATACGAAAAAATTTGTGCTTGCAAGGTTCATCTACTCGAACGACTACAATTCCAAGCCCGACTCTCCAAAAACACACCGGCGTTGACGTAGAAGATCGGCGTCGTCACGAAGGAGTGGCGAAGCCGCCGGAGCTCGAGCCGAACGCAAAGGTATCCGCTTCGTATCCGCATCAAATACCTAATGCGTAATAGAACAAACAACCAGCTGCTTCAAATCGTCCACTCGCTTTCTTTCAACTTTCTATAGCTTTTCGTCTTCACGTTCTTTCCGGCAACAACTCCGCAATTCGAAATATTTATCACCAGCGAACAACGTCAAAAAGAGGGGAAGAATCAGAAGAAGAATGTGTGTGGGAAAAATATTATTACGAATGTTTTTTTGTACAATGTACAAGTGGGGGCATCACATGACGAGGGGTACTGGTGCGTTAGCAGGGGTTCGATTTCGAGCTATAAAAAGTTCATAAAAACATCAAAATTTTCGAATTTCTACACTTCTGGTCAAAAATGTCTGAAAAATCGTCAAAAATGTAATTTTTACAATGTTTTTATAACTTTTTAGGACTCGCAAATCATTAAGAATCAAAGAAGTTAGTCCCCCCCCCCCGCTAACGCACCAGCAACAACGAGGGGCCCTAGTTAGACGAGTAGGTACATGAAAGCCGCGGGACAAGAAAATCGGGGAATAACAAAAACAAGCCTACAAAATCAATAGAATAGCGGGTTATGCGTGACCCAGTGCTGCTCGGGCTTGTTCCGCGCCGCCTCGCAGCTGGTGAACAGGTTCTTGTAGGCGGCTGAAGTGTTCGGGTCGTCCTGGATGGAGACGGCCTTCTTGGCCGCCGAGGCGCCCTTCAGCGGCGCGATTTCCATTTTGCGCTTCGGCGCGGCGGGCTTTTTTGACTGAAAAAACAGGTAAATTACATCACCGAAATTCAATTTTTCCAACAAAATTTCGAATTTTTCCAGTTCTTAGATTTTTAAAATAGTTTTTGCTTTAAATATAATTGAACTTTGCTAAAAATACCAATAAAATCCAAGAACTTACTTTGATTAGCGGCTCCGGCGGCACTGGGGTTCTTGAGGTCGTCGGGCGATGCCTCCTTCGGCTCGGCCTTGATCGCCGCCTTCTTCTCCTTGGCCGCTTTCCGCTCGGCGACGAGGCGCTCCTATAAACGAATTTAAAAATTGAAAAGTCGCGTGGGTTCTTTCGGATTTCCAGGCGGTAAGGTATTTCGGGGAGAAACCGGAGAGTTTTCGGGGAGAGAGATCGTTGAAACAGTGTAGAAACACTTTCGCTATTCATACTGTAAATGTAGAAACATTCAGGGAAAAACTATTTTGCAAAGTGGGAAAACCGCGAAAAAAATTTGAAATTTTGGTAAAAAACGCTATTTTTAGCACTGTTTTTGCGCTTAACGATCGTACAAACGTTAATACCTTGTACTTCTCGAGCAGCTCATCGTCCGGGTAGAGCACCACCATATCATCGGCGCTGATCGGGCCATTGCAGCCGTGGCAAGCGTCGGTTTTGATCTAAAATGCAAATTAAATAAATAATTTAGGCAATACCTCATTCAAGGCCTTCTCGGAAAAGACGCATCCGCACTTCCAGTTGACGACAAAGTTCTGGTTGCCGTTCATCGGCGCCGTGGTGATGGGGCAAATGTAGGGGGTCACGTTCAGGTCTTGGTACCCGTCTCCTTTCACCTAAAAACATCAATAAAGATTTTTTTAAAGGCGCAAATTCATGCTTTACGGATGAAAAAGCATTTTTTTGCGGATAAAGCCGAGCTTCTAGTATCTACGATGTAATCTACGGCCTTGAAGGTCGAACCAATTGCAAAGACGAAAACACCCTAAATTTCGCGTAAGAGCTTCCAAATCCCAGCCTGTAAAAGTTTTTAGGTGTAACTAAAATATTGTATTGTTACTACACGCCCAATAGAGAGTATCATACGGATTTTAGGAAAATCGTAACAACGATCCAACCAGATTCTAAGCATTTTGTAACCCAAAAACTATTTCTATGAAAAGGTCAATTTTTGGTTCGAAAAAGCTTTTTAGGTGCCTTAAGATTGAAAAAAATGCTAAAACCACGTGAAACAATATAGCTATTCACAATGTAGACCCTGAACCTGAAATTGGGCTACATTAAACGAAGTTAAACACCGATTTTGATGTAAAAATCGCCGAAATTGATACCCTTCCGTGTTGAAATCCTTGTTGTCGGTGAGGCGCAACTCCTTGGAAGTCCTTGGTGCCCTTGATGTGCGCGGTGTTCTCGACCTTGGCGATCGTCTTGTTCAGGATGGCCTCGATGACGGCGTCCTTGTTGTAGAGGCGGCCGAATCTAGAAAAAAAACGAAATAAAAACGTCTCGTTTGGCCCGAAAATTGCCTTCTGTCATCATCATGAAAGTTTACTATTACGAAAACCCAATAGCTCCAAATTCCCCCCAGCGTTCTAAACATGCAAATCCGCAATTTTGGATGTAGTTCGACGCATTGAAAATTTTGAGAACGTGATTTTCGACATAATGACAGACAATCAACGTTTTCCAGTTATAAATACTGCAAAACACTCCGAACCTGCAGGCGATGATCGGCTTCTTGAGCGGCTGCTGCGACACCTGGCAATTCTTCCATCGCACCGCGTTCTTGACGGCCTTCTCGATTTTCTCGGTCTTCTTCTTCTTGGGAACCTGGAAAAAGAGATTATTGGCCGAAAAACAAGAAACTCACCAATTCACAGCGCTTCGGGATCGTGCCTCCGTCGGCTCCCATAGCGAAGGTTGATTTCTGAAATAGCTGAATTAGCAGCGACGCCAAAAATTGGAAAGAAATAGTTTTAGAAAATGGAAAAGAAAAAGCTTGAGGAAACTGAGGAAACGGTTTCACAATGGTTATATGCGCGCGCGAGAGACGAGGACTGGGAATGGGCGGAGAGCGATACATTGAAGAGAACCGCGACGAGGTAAAAGACTAGGGTTTTAGAAAGCTTAGACTCTAAAACATTGGCAGGTTGCTAGTTTATCGTTCGAACATCGTTATTGTTCGAGTTTATTTCTAAAATTCTAGCACATTTTAAGACGTTTTCTAACGTTATACTGAGATAATAGACTTTATTACTTGCAATGAACGTGTTATAACGGTCTAAGAGAGGTATTACAACGTATAAAACGAGCGTATCATCTTTTCTTCCTTTCTACTTCTCAAAATGTGCTGCTATAAACACTAGAAACCTGCAAACTGCCATAACAAGAAATTCCCTTACTAGAAAGTTTACTACTGCTTGATTTTTCAAAAAACTAGCTTCAAATCTTGCTAGAATGCTTATAACGCCTTCATCAACTTTAAAATCTTTCACAAACCCTACAAACTGCCAATTTCCCTGCTTCAGTTGTTCGCAAGTAGCTTCAAGAATCCGATGGAAATCAACCCAATCATGTTTCTCCTTCCATCACTTCCAATTTTTGGGTGCAAAAATATTTATCGTAATGATCAGCGGTGAAACGTAAGACATGGATAAAACATACACATTCAAAGACATTTAAAAAAGTATAAAGCAGAAATTCATCCCTTAATTTTGACGTCGCTGTCGTTGAGCGTGCGGATGGTGACGGTCGAGGGCGGGAGTGTGGCGGGGATCTAAAAAAGGCAAATCAGAAAAACTGGTGCTGCTCAATATACCTCTTCATCCTCATAGGCGTACGAGCTGGCGATGGCGATTTGCGAGCCGTCATGGTTGAAATCGAGCGAGACGACCGAGGCATCAAATCTGGAAAAGAACAATAAAGAAAATCATAAGAAAAACCATACTTGTACAACTGGACGAGGCGCTTCCGGTTGAACGGGTCCCAGATGTTGACCTGCTTGTCCGTGCCGCCGGTGGCCAACGACGAGTATTTGGGGTGGAAGGCGAGCGCGTTCACCGGGTACACAAGCTCGACACCGTCAGTGTCCTAAAAGGAAAATCATTTTGCGATCAGAAAAACGCGGGATACCTTTGCCCGATGGCACTTGAAGGCGTATTTCTTCTTGAGGACCTCGGGCTCGGAGCTGATGTACTCGACGGCGACGCGGCCCTCGATCGACGCGACGACGAATGCCGACTCTTCCGGGAAGTACTTGACGGTCCGGGTTTGCCACTAAAAAAGAATATAGAACTGGGAATGGAAAACGCTGAGCAAGTCAAATAGGCTAGAAAGAATTTTAGAAAGGGCGCTACAACTGAAACTATAGAGACAGAGATTTTTTCGCGAAATTTGAGCTAGATGATGAGGTTTTCAAACTTCCCGCTTGAATCTAAGCCAAATTTCCTCAAAACTTCGACTTAAGAACCTCAAGCCGCTTCCAAACTTTTTTAAAAAGAATGTATTTAATGTCTGTGATTTCAAGTTCAAAATTATGAAAAGAAACGCGCTAAAATCTCAAATAAAGAAACGGACCCGTAGTGGACTCTCGCGGATGACCGGGTTCTGCATGTTCCTGATGTCGTAGAGGTAGATCTTCCGGTCCCGCGTGCCGACGACGATCTCGTGGCCCTTCGTGTCCATGGCGTAGACGCGGTCGGAGAGCACGTCCGAGCTGACCGCCGAGCCGCGCGCGCGATGGTCCCAGAGCTGCAAAAAAAAGTTGTTTTCAAAACCCAATCCTAGAATTATACCTTAACGCTCTTGTCCCAACTGCCCGACGCGACCAGCTGCGTCACGTCCATGTAGCCGACACAACGCACCGGCATGTCGTGCTTGCCCAGGTTTTCGGCTAAAAAGCAGGTTAATTTTTGGAGGAATTCTCACTTTTCGCGGTGGCAATGTCGAGCACCTTGACGACGTTGTCGGCGCCGCCGCTGACCATACGGGCACTTCCCTAAAGTAAAAGTTAAAAGCGTAAGAAACTGAATTACCGCAAAACTGCAGCAGAGCACGGGCTTGCCGTGAAAGTAGAAGCCGGCTTGTCGGACGTCGTTCGGGTCTTGGACATTGTAGAGGAAGACGGACCCGTCCCAGCCGGTCACGCCCACCAAGTCTCGTGCTCCCTCGCAGCCAAACTAAAAAAATAGAGGTGAGCACCAAGAAATTCAACTCACTTTAACGCACGAGATCGATTTTACTCCGGGCCAGGGTAGCCGGTATTCGTTTGGCGCCGCCACAATGTGTGCTTGGTACGACATCTGAAAAGGTTATGATGTTGTAAATAGGTCGAAGGAGAAAGGAAAACGAAAAGAAAACAACCTACAAAAAGAAAGACAAGAACACAAAGGTAGAGAAGATAGCCGAGCCTGGAAACTTCGAGTAATTTTGAAAATGTGATAAAACTAAAAGAAAAATTGAATAAATCAGAGGAAAACCGGACACTTCGGACTGAAGAAGCCAAACACGTCTTATAAAGATATTACGATGAAGGGTTAGCTTTAAAAGGGAAAAAGCACGGAGAAGGAGTCTCTAAAAAACGTATATCCGATACCTAAGCGTGGGAAGATGACTAAACAAAGAAAAGAAAGCAAGTAAGTAAGCTTTTTCGCTGAATACGGAACAGAAGAAAGAGCAAACTAGCAGCGTTCTTTCCGGAACTCGATGAGAATCGAAGAGTTAGTTTCGAAACTATCGAGAGAAGAGCGCAAACAAAAATAAAAAGTCCGGCCGAGCTAGCATCAGTTAAAAGACTTGATGAAGAAGCAGCGGCTAATAGAACACGGCTCGTCAGCCCTTACCAAAAACGCACTTTGGGGGGGCGGCGGCTCTCTCCCCGCGGATAGTGGGTTAACTCCCCGGGCGAGCCCCGCGCACCCCCCGGGTTCGGTTCCTCTCGGGTACAAATCCCTCCATTTCATGAAAATTCTTTTGCTTTTTGCTCCAATAGTATCACAAAGCCTCTGGGAGGCAGTAATCCAAATCAAACTAGCGAGTTACGGTTAGAATTCGGAAAATAGCGGCCAGAAGGATTTTTGCCGGAAAGGACCCCAAAACAGTCGTGGATTCGCTTAAAATCAGTTTTTGAAGGCGGCGGGTCAATTTTTAGCTAAATCTCAAGATGTATTAACAATTGGGGCCTTTACTTTAGTAGATTCGGACTTTATCTTACAAGCTGCCGCCTCGTTTTTTGAAAGAAATTGGTGTTTGAACCCATTTCCTGAAACGACACATGATATTTCAGTAATTCTCGATTCACGCTCTCCGATTTGATATAATTATGTAGAAAATGGCCTTATAAAGTCCGATTATTCGAAGCTCCAAATTATCGCTTTCAAAAATTGTTTAGTTTTCCAAAAGCTTCTATATTTCAGTCAGAATAGTATATTTGTACGTTGCACAACTCATTAACAACTTATTGATGGTAGCTTATAGCAAGAGGACGAAATGCTCGATGTAAAACCACTTTTTCGGAAATTTGTGAAACTTTAGGCTGAAATAACTCCTTATTTCCTTGAGAATGCCCTATGCAACCCTCACCGTTCGATAGAGAATTTTTATCTCTATCGATTCGTCAAGCCTCCCGAATTTTCGAAATCATGCCAAAAAAGTTATGGCAAGAAAACTACAAACTTTGCTTTTTCTAATATGGGCGGCGCCGCGGCACAGGGACCAGTGGCAAAAGGCGCGCCCCGTACTAAAGTGCGCTTTGACGAGCCGTGAGAAGTAAGGAAAGATAAACCTCAGAAATCGCTCTAAAATCAACAAAATTTTCCTACGCGATTTTGCCCGGAAACGAGCAGTCGCAGAAGAGCGCGATGTGGAGATGCAAGAAGTGAGCTAGGGCGAGCTAGCAGAGATCCTTTGGGAGGAAAATAACCCCGAAAATCATAGATTTCGAAAAGCAAAAACCCGAAACATCAAAAATTCAGGGAAACTCTTTCGAGCAGGGCGCCCCGAAATTTTGAACATGCCCCGTCCGCAGCACGCACGCGTAGCTGATTTTCATCGCGTAACGACGGGCCCTAAAAAAGTCTAAAAAAGGCGAATAAATATCGAAATAATGAGAATAAAACAAGCCGAGAAAATTGGGGAAATCGGCCATTATAAAAGCCGCTGCTCCGCGCCAGATTCTGCAGGAATCTCGGCTTGTTTGCCTGGCTTTTAACGCTTCATTTTTGTGGATTTTAGAAATTATAATTTCTATATTTTTGTAGGATAATTAAAATATATAGGTTTCACTTAAAAAAGGTAGATGGTATATCTTCTGCACCGGATTCCACATGGATCTTCGCTCGTTTGCCTGGCTTTTCTAGCGGCATTTTTTTGGTGTTTATTGCGTTGCATTTGTATATATTTTGTAGGATAATTAAAAATATATTTATTCAACTCTAAAAGACACATTTTATATTTGTCGGCATTTTTGTGTAATAAATAACCTCAATTTTTTGCGTTTTTAAGCCATATTTCGTAGGTTTATATAAAATGGATTATTTTGCATTTTTAAATTTTATTTTGTAGTTTACTTTGTAATATTAAAAATATATTTATTCAGCTCTAAAAGACACATTTATATTTGTCGGCATTTTTTGTATATAATAACGAAAACGGGGGGCGGTGGAAATTGGTGCTTTAGACGTGTAAGGCAACGCATTTGGGTGAATATATTAAGGCATCCGTCGGCTTTTGAAGGGAGTTTCCGGGACGGGGGCAGCCAGCAGAGATTCTTTGAGAACCCGAGCTGCCTCCACTTCCCGGTCCCTTTAAAAGCTCAAAAAATCGCTAAAACGCGGGGCAAAAAACGGGTTAAGTGAAATTTGGGGGGCGTTGGTCGCTGGGTGGGTTTTTGTGACAATGAGAAGTTGGAGCTTTTGCATTATCGGGGGGGGGGGGCGGGCTACAGAAACGCCTAATAACTTAATATTAAGTATTTTAATATTTTTTTTTAGTGAATTTTACTCGATTTTAAATGAAAAACTATCGAAAAACCTTTAGAAAGTTTTCAAATTTGAATTTTTGTCGAAAAGCTGCCTTTTTGTGGTCGAAAAATCGATATATTTGTAATTTTTACTAGAATTTTGTAAGGCTTTTTAGGTTTAGAATAATATAAAACAGTTTAGAACGACGTTAGCTATTTATTTTTGTAAAATGAGGCATGAAGAATAATAAAGAAAAATTACTCCCCCGATAATGCACAAGAGCCGAATATTACAACCGAGTTAAACTTATTGAATTTAAAATTAAGAAGTTTAACTGAATTATTAATAAAAATCAGCAAAATACAGAAAATATGAAAATCACAACCATTTTCTAGTGGCCAAAATTTTCAAAGCGGGGCGGAATTTTGTTTGATTGGTGTAAGTAGTGGAATTTAAATTATACTATAGGGTGTGGGCGGGCAGGCTAGCAGAGATTCCTGAGGAATCCTGACGTATTTTAAAGGGATGGTGACACCAAGAGTCGAAAAACAGAGGTTTCAAATGTGTCACCACCCCTTTAAAGGGACCAAGAAGGCATAAGCTATAGATTTTCGTGGATTTTTGCCTTCCCAGTCCCTTTAGCCGACACACAAAAACTGCCATCACATTTGGGCACCTATGAAATGTGGGTGTTTGGAGGGCGCGGGACCGAGTTCGCTCTCCGCTCCCCCATCGGACTTCGCCCATTGGCCAGGATGGCCTTCGGCCGCAACGCAGCCGCTGCCGCGTCTGCCAACGCCGCCGGCGGGTGGAATTGTCTGCAAATTACCGATTTTAAAGTGATAATTAACGTTGTTTTACTCCGAAAACAATAGGATTACGCAATTTAACACGATATCAAAGTCCCAAGTAGCTAAAAACTGTTTTAAAAATCTCTGCTAGCCTTCCCTTTCCTAAAGAATCTCTGCTAGCCTTCCCTTTCCTAAAGAATCTCTGCTAGCCTGCCCTTTCCTAAAGAATCTATGCTAGCCTGCCCTTTACTAAAGAATCTATGCTAGCCTGCCCTTTCCAAAGAATCTCGCTAGCCTGCCCTTTCCTAAAGAATCTCTGCTAGCCTGCCCTTTACTAAAGAATCTATGCTAGCCTTCCCTTTCCTAAAGAATCTCTGCTAGCCTGCCCTTTCCTAAAGAATCTCTGCTAGCCTGCCCTTTCCTAAAGAATCTATGCTAGCCTGCCCTTTACTAAAGAATCTCTGCTAGCCTGCCCTTTCCCAAAGAATCTATGCTAGCCTGCCCTTTCCTAAAGAATCTCTGCTAGCCTCCCCTTTCCTCAAGAATCTCTGCTCACCTGCCGTTTACATAAAATCTTTACTACTTTTTAAAATATCTTTAATCAAATATTTGCAACTTGCTTGCTAGCATGGTCCATTTAAGACATTATTAACCTTTTTGACAGAAATTAAGATAAAAATTTTGCAATTTTCTTGCTGGAAAACCCCTTTAAAATTATATAAAACTTTTAATGGGATTTAAAATGCAACTTTTTAAAACCTTTAAAAGCCCAGGTTAGTATTTTACAACATAAAGCTACCAACAGGGTTAATCATAATAATATTACGCGGCCGTAAACCTACCGTAACCCAGTTAGGGGCCACTAAAATTCGCGAAAAATACGATAAATTGCGGATAAACTAAAAAAACCTGAATTTGCCGTTCTCCAGATATCGCGTCCGGCGCACTTCCCGGGTGCTGAAGCAGGCCACGTAGACGTAGTCGCCCTGAAAATCATGAGATTGAAAACAGTTTTAAAAAAACTCAGAAACGCATCGGAAAACTCTCAATTCCTAAATTTTTCCTGCTAGCCTACCCGAATTCGATGTTATTGCAAGGCGGAATGCCCTAAAAATTCAGCCAATAATGTCCACTACCATGCCTTGTCTATTAAAATCGAAATTTTGCAAAAATACAGGATTTCCCAAATTACCCCTGCTAGCCTGCCTAGATTGGTTTATTTAAGCATCAAAAACGGCTCACTAAATCTTTTAAAACCAACCCTTCCTTAAAAACCTCTGCTAGCAGCCTTGCTGTTAAAATCCGAATTTCGAGAAAGATTGAATTTCCCAAAGAATCTCTGTTAGCTGCCTTTCCTGTTAAAATCGTAATTTCGAGAAAGATAGAATTCCGAAATTGTCTCTGCTAGCCTGCCTTCACTCTTCGTTAAAATCTATCAAAAATTCCCCAATAATCTCTGCCAGCTCACCAGCACGGTCAGTCCGAGTGCCATTTGTGGTTGGAGGGGTTCGAGGAAGGTGACTTCTCGCAATTTTCGCACTCCCTTCTCGCCGCTCAGCAAGATCTGCACCTTCCCGTTCGCGTAGTCCATGATCAGCAGGTGGCCCGTCTGAAAATATCGATTTTTTTTTAGGATTTAACTACAAACCACAAGTCGGAGACTACAAACTACAGAAATTGAAAAATCAGACCTTTTTGGCCATTTTGCATACATTTTGACAAAAAAGCCGAAAATCTCGAATTTTCATAATTTCTAATGCGCTTTTCATAGCTAAAAACCGCTTAATTAATTTTTTTAGGATTAAACTACGGACTACGAGACAAAAAATAGGGATTAAAAATTCGAGCTAATTTTTATGACTTGTTACAACTGATAATGAATTTCTATATTGTTTTTCATGGTTTTTGATCGCTAGAAAATTTAAAAAATAGCGCAGACTTTTGAAATTCGAGAATTTTGAGATTTTTGGTGGTTTTTCAACCTTCTCGACCAAAGTCAAATTTGTTTTCGAATTTTTTATACTTTTTAATGCGCTTTTTATAGCTATAAAACCGCATAAAATGCTATAAAATTGCTTATATTTCGTAATAGGGCCTTCAGTTTTAAAAAATTTGATTACACCAGCTAAACCCACCCGTTAACAGTACAGTACCAAAAAACTTACCAACGTAAAGAATTGATAAACTATTAAAATATAAACTACAAAACCAAGCTACAGACTACAAACCTTGTCGACAATCGCGCTCGCCGGGGATGAGATGTACTGGCCGAGGTTGTACGTCACCGACAGGTCGTACTCGTTGATCAACGACAGCTGGCTGTCGACGACAAAGAGCAGGAGACGATTGTTCGCCGCGTCGCACGTCAACAACACGACCGCCCTGAAAATATAGGCATTAATGGGAGGTAGATCCACTAAAAAAATCTCACAACATTTCCACACTCTATTTAAACCGAAAAAAATAGACCCAAAACATTGGGGTGCTTTTTCTAAGTATTTCAGTGGCGAACCCGAAATTCTCGCGGAGGATACGGTTCCTGGAAAATCCACAAAGATCTCTGCTAGTCTGCCCTTTTTCTAAGGAATCTCTGCTAGCCTCGACTTTCAAAAAACTCACTTGTAGTCGGACTGATCCTCGGCCACGCTCAAATATTGGTATCTCGATTTGCGCGATTCCTTCAGCGTTTTCCAGGCCTAAAAAATTATTTTGAATTTTATAATTAATTAATTTTAAAATCTAGAACTAAAATTATACGGAATTAAAATAAATAATTTCTCAATAACCTATTTAACAAAATAAAACATTTAAAGGGACCTGGAATGCAGAAATTGATAGCAAACTTGTTTTGAAATCGTAATAAACAAACTCTTAAATTTTTATAATTTTTTGGTATATTTTTTAAAAGAAATATGTCTATCTTCGAATTTCTGCCTTCACAGGCCCTTCAAAAAGCCTATTTTCTCACCTTTCTGCTCCTCATATACACCCACAGTGCCGATTTCAGATTGTCGCCACTCGTCATAAAAAGATGCCCCCGCGGGCCTACAGTAAGCCATCGCGTGCGGCTGAGCTCGATTTTCGGGTCCTTCGGGCAGGGGATTGCCTGGAAATTAGGGATAAAAATATTTTTTTAAAAATCCACAAATGGCTTCGTTCGTTTCACCGAATTTAACCATTCCCAAAAAATCTCTGCTAGCTTGCCCTAAATTCTCACGAAAAGGGCAGCTAGCAGAGATCATTTACGAGAGAAATTTCGTTCGATCGATTTCCCAAAACATCTTTGCTAGCCTGCTCTGCAGATCCCTGCTCCTACTTACATCAAGCTTCTTATTCCCCTTGGCCATGTCGAAGACGTGGATCGATCGCCCTTGCCGTCATCACCGAGACGTACATGATCTAAAAATCGGGTTTTAAGGGGACCGGCAACTATGGGTATAATGGCGCATTAATTTAAAGCCAAACGTACCGCATTTTTCTCATCAACAGCCACCGACGAGGCGGACGAGTTCTTGATGAGGATGTGGTCGGTGATCTCGCCTTCAGGGGTCGTGATGTAGACACCTGAAAATGAGGCCGGATTAGGGGTCGTAGTGGACGCGTTACAAGGCAAGCCAGCAGCGATCATTCAGGAAATTTAGAAAATCCTGGGCAAACTAGCGGAGATCCTTAAGGAAATTCAGAGAAATCCATCCTGCTAAATAGCAGAGAGTATCCAGGAAAAGGGCATTTCACTTCAGAAATCGGCCATCTGGCAGAGATCCTTTAGGATTGGCGAGGAACTTTGCTAACCGAGGAAAGCTAGCAGAGACAATTTGGGAATGCAAAAACGGTAGCAATCCGAACTCCAAAGCAAGCCTGCAGAGATTCTTTAGGATTTAGAAAATTTTTCGCCGATGAGAGACCTAGCATCGCTTTTTGAGCAAAAAGATAAAAATTTCTGGCCAGCTAGCAGAGATTCTTTAGGAAAACAAGATCGATTCCAGCCAACCTCCACAACTATCCGACAGGGCGAGCATCGGCGGTTTGCCCTGCAGTTGAAACGATTGCACGCAGATCGGGCGCGTCAGGAAATTCTCGCCAAATGACGCGAATTTTCCCTAAAAATTAATTCACTGAATTTTATAAAAAATTAGTTACATTTGGGTTACTGCTCGAGCCGGGGGCCGGTGAAGAGTTAGGGACGGGAGTCGTGTTGGAGGACTGAAATCGGAATTGTTAGAAATTAAAAAACCCTTCCAATTCCTAAATGATCCCTGCTAGCCTGCCCTTTCCTAAATAATCACTGATTGCCTGCCCTTTCCTAAAGAATCTCTGCTAGCCTGCCCTTTCCTAAAGAATCACTGCTAGCCTGCCCTTTCCTAAAGAATCTCTGATAGCCTGCCCTTTCCTAAAGAATCTCTGCTAGCCGTTTTCCTAAATGATCCCTGCTAGACGGCCCTTTCCTAAATAATCTCTGCTAGCCTGCCATTTCCTAAAGAATCTCTGCTAGCCGCCTCAGGCCATACCGACTGGGCCATGGCCTCAAGATGGGCCTGATCCTGAAACGAGACGCGTCGCTTCAAATGACGACAATATCGTTGATAGTCCTCTTTCGTAAAATCCTCGACATAACGGCCAGGGGTGCTACTGTAGCGCATTTGGGTGGGTCCTGGGTGGAATTGGGATAAAGATAATAAAGAGACACAGAAAGAGATAGAGAGAGAGAGAGAGAGAGAGAGAGAGAGACAGACAGGGAGACACCGAGGCCATGTCTGCCTTCGCAGGCCCTTTAAAACACCCCAAAATATTCAAATATGAATTTCGGGAGCGGCTATTGGGAGGCATTGAGGATGGGGGCTCCTCCTCGCTTTCTCGGGGGTGTGGCTGATTCATCATTCAGAAAAGTCAGAGGGATTGGGCGAGAGAGAGAGCGACAGAGAGAGAGAGATAGCAGGGAAAGAGAAACAAAACCCTAAAACGGGGAGCAGCGGTGGGGCGCAGGAGGAGTAACATGAGCTACCCACGATTACCAGTTTTGGAGGCGGGGTGGGCGAGATGATGACTAGTTTTTTTGCGTTTAAAAGGATGTAAGAGAGAGAGAGAGAGAGAGAGAGAGAGAGAGAGCGAGAGAGAGAGAGAGAGAGAGAGAGAGAGATAGAGCAGCAGGGAGAGAGAGAGAAAATTCTCTGGAAAGACCTTAACAGCCTAAAAAACGGCGCGAAAATGATTATTTTAGGCCTAGATCTCTCTCATTCTCTCTCTCGCGCGCGCGCTCTCTCTCTCTCTCATTCTCGCTCTATCACCCTGACAAAGCAAAGAAAGCAAAAAAAGCAAAAATCAAAACTTGGTTTTTTTTTCGAAAGGGTTCGAACCCGGGCCATTTTCCTGAAAAACAACACCAAAACCACTTAGCCAGTAGCCATACTAAAATCCGGGATTTCCGGATGGCTCCGGATTCCGCGCGGCTACTGTGAACAGGGCAGTATTTGGGGAGGATGGGTTGTGTGAAGCATTGTCCTTTGTTCTCTCTCTCTCTCTCTCTCCCTCTCTCTCTCTCCCGCCTTGTGGGGGGATATGTGTGCAAATATATAATTTGTTTGACTTTACCCGCCCCTAGGCCTGACGACGTCCTGAACCCAGCGGGGGTGACGGAATTTGAGCCTTCGGTTGGACTACCCCCGAATACACGTCGTTATATGGGCCGTCATTTTTAATGGGAGAGAGAGAGAGAGAGAGAGAGAGAGAGAGAGAGAGAGAGAGAGAGAGGGAGAGAGCGGGCAAGCTAGCAGAATCCTGTGGGGAACTAAAAGCATCTGGGAGCCAGCTAGCAGGGATTCTTTGGGAATCGCAACAGGGCAATCTAGCAGTGTTTTTGCGGAAAGTGAGAGATAGATAAAGCCGCAGAATTTAGAGAAAAAGTTTGACATATGAATCAAATTAGTGACAAATTTTCTTAAAGCGAGAGAGAATGAGAGAGAGAGCGAGAGCGAGAGAGAAAAAGAGTGAGAGGGCGAGAGAGCGAGCGAGCGAGAGACAGAGCGAGAGAGAGAGAGAGAGAGAGCGAGAGAGACAGAAATCCCAAAAACCTCAATCCCATCAGCGTTTTCCGAACCCAAAAAATCGATTCTATCATCCCCCGCCCACCAATCAGGCTAATTGAATTAGCAAAACGGAGAAAGAGCGGACATTTTTCAAGAAAAAACTGTGCTTTAATTCCCCAATACTCTCTGCTAGCACCTAGGGTAACTAGCAGAGATTCTTAGGGATTTTCGTTAGTTTTCGCCACCGGTCTCTCTCCCTTTAAAATACACAGAAATCCGTAATTTACATGATTCAGCCAGACGGCAGGGTGGAGCGGGTTTTTGTTTTCGTTTCCAGGCGCCGCCGATGTACTGAGTAATGGGACGGATCGCTGGAGGGTGATTTGCATACGGGAGGCGCCAAATTACGCGGGTGATTCGCGAGGGTTTTCGGGGGATTAGGATGATTAAAGGAACCCGGAAGTCTAGGGAAATAGCAGAGATTCTTGAGGAAATGGGGAGGCAGAGATTTTTTAGAAAAGGGCAGGCTAGCAGAGATTTTTTAGAAAAGGGCAGGCTAGCAGAGATTTTTTAGGAAATGGGGAGGCTAGCAGAGATTTTTAGTAATGTTGAGGGAGGCTAGCATAGATCATTGGAGAAAAACTACAAATTACAAAAAATTTACCAGTGTCGTGTTGAGGGTGTCATCAGCCGGATACGGTGGTAGCGTTGACATGGCGCTAGTGGGCGGTTGATACGGTATATTACTGTACGTCGATAGGGCTCCCATCGACACAGCGCCGTTCGCCTAAAATACAAAATTAAAGGGCCCGGGAAGCCAAAAATGAGAGAATCATGGCAGGCTAGCAGACATTCTCTAGGAAAAAGCAGACTAGCCGAGATTCTTTAGGAAAGGGCAGGCTAGCAGAGATTCTTTAGGAAAGGGCAGGCTAGCAGAGATTCTTTAGGAAAGGGCAGGCTAGCAGAGATTCTTTAGGAAACCTCACCAGGGAATGATCGGGAGACTCGGCTTCTTCTAATGGCACCGATTTCTCGCGGAACGACATCACAGAGGGACGATCGCGGACCTGAAAAAATACTTTAAAACGTATAGACTTTTATAAAATTATATTTACAGCTATAAACGAAAAACTTAACTCCGGAAAAATAGCTTTCTAGTCAAAAAATTCCGATTCTCACACAAGCCTTCAGCTACAACGTAAAAAACGCGCAACGTATCGTATAGACAACGAAAAAAGCATGAAAAAGGTATAAAAAAACGTAATAGCTTTAACCATTAAAATTATCGATTTCACTCCGGAATCTGCACTCACTTTCAGCTGAAAAGTAAGCTTCAATTATCCCAATTTAAGTAATAAATACAAACTAATAAAAACCCACAAAAACACTGGGTTCCAAGGGCAGCTGGCCTGAACTTGTCCGTCTTGATATCGAGTCGACGCTGATCCCGCGGCGCTTCAAGTCGCCGTCGGATGACCACAATGTTCGACCATCCGGTGTCGTGGCTCGGGATCTGAAAAAAATGAATTTTCGCTGATTTTAAAGGAACAAGGAAGGCAACAATCTAGACACCCGGTTCAGGGATTTCTACATGAAGCCGTGCTCACTTAAGCCCCTCGCTATGGGACTACCTAATCCGAAAAAGTCGTCATCTGGAACAGTTGGATTTTGAGGTACTGTAATAAGACCTGGCGAGTTGCGGAAAAAATCAAAAACTCTTAGGATTTCTGGATAAAAGCGCGAAAAGTTTTCCTCGATTTTTTTGGTTGCATTTTTTTTCACCGCCTGACTCAACGGGCCATTGAATGATCGGTACGGTGCTTTTAGCGGGGGGTTTGGCGGGGTTCAAGCAGTTTTAAATTTTCGTTAACAATGCATAATGTCTTTTTCGACGGTTTTTAATAGAGCTTGATTTCTGGGAAGGCATACAAGATAATTGAAAAAAATTAGAAAATTACAATTTTTTTTTGGTAATTTTCATACATTTTCGAACTTTGTCATAATTTCTTGGTGCTTCCTTTACCACAAAACTGTGCAAAATGCACGTAAAAAAAGCTAAAAAACTAAAAAAAACTACTGGCAAAAATTTGATTCCAGCAGCTACAGCGAACCCCCCCCGCTAATCGTCCAGTACCGAATTACCGTGGGGTTCATTTATTGAAACTTGGCCAGCCTAAACAAGCCACTAACGCCAAGTAAAAATAAAAATTCTCAGCCTCTAGTTTCACGCCTCACACACCGGGGATCGGGATGCAAAAGCAAAAAAAATTATCTTTACAGCCAAAAACTAGATTTACCGCAGAGGAAAAAAAAATCGTAAAAATTTACTCCGCTTTAACCCTATCCACAGCTGGGTTTCGTCTAAATTCGCGGTTAGAAATCGAGACCAAATGATCTCTGCTAGATTGCCTCGTTGGAAAAACTTTAAAAAACGTACAATCCAGCCGTGCTGGCCGTATCGTGGTGGATGTGGGTGCCGAGTTGGATGGCGATCACCTCAGCTGCTGCTCTCGCGTCCCATTCCGAACGATCTCGAAGGTTTGGCAGAAGATCTTCCTGAAATATGGAAATATTAGTTTGGAAAATGGTGTAATTCCGCAAATGGACGCAGCTAGTTAGCCCCTCTCTGTCTCTGTCTCTCTCTCTCTATCTATCTGTCTCTAACACTTTCTCTTGCTCTCTCTCTCTCTCCCTCCCTTTCTCTCTCTCCCTCCCTTTGTCTTTCTCTCGCTCCCTGTCTCTCTCTCTCTCTCTCTCTCTCTCTCTCTCTCTCTCTCTCTCTCTCTCTCTCTCTCTCTCTCTCTCTCTCATCCTCTCTCTCTCTCTCTCTCTCTCTCTCTCTCTCTCTTTCTCTCTCTCTCTCGCTTCCGTGCTATTAAACATTCATTTGACATTCTAATTAGTGTATATACAGTGCTGAACATCTACCGTAGTCCTATAAAATTTTTCGAAATACACAGCACACCTAAAATCTCCACATTCCTCGCATGCTCTAGTTTTGAAAATTAGCGCCATCCAGATATGCAAATTAAATGTGCTGGATGTAAATTCGAAATCGCCAGCGACACACGCTTTTTACCTTTTTTGCCGGCGGCGGCTGGGCGCCTTTTTTTATTCGCGGTTTCACCTAATAGAGGGAAATTTGGAACGGAAACGAGGGAGAGAGGGATGGAGGGAGGGAGAGCGAGAGTGAAAGAGAGACAGAAAGTGCGAGAGATATAGAGACAGAAAGCTGGCAAGAGAAAGAGAGATCAAAAGTTCAAGATAGGTTAAAAGCGTGTGTGACAAAAATACACTTTACGGTCAGCAAAAAAAGCAAATTACCTCGTAAATTTCGGCTCTGGGCAATCGGAGGAGTTCCTTGGCCGCCTCGATGATTTGCGCCATCCTGGAAAAAACAGATTAATCAAAAAAATAATTATCAAATTACAATTTTAAAGGCTAGAAAATTCATCATAAATCAAAAATTTCAATTCGTCAAAATATAAATCTAAACGCTCACTTTGCCGGGTCCTCATGATCGAGATTCCACGTTTTCCACTGTGGCCGGGACGGGGAGTGGACATGGTAGAGGGAGGGCCGATCGTCTTTCAGGTATGACGTCGATAAGGCCTAGAAAAAGATATTATGTAAAAAATCTCTCTCTCTCTCTCTCTCTTTCTCCCGTTCTCTCACTCTCTCTCTCTCTCTCTCTCTCTCTCTCTCGAATTAATCAATCTGCTTACCCGATTCAACCTCCCAATCAGCACCCTGTCCGGCTCGTTGGACTGCTCGAGGGCGCGGGACAACTCGTTGATGAGGATGATCTCTACCTGAAATCCACAAATTACCACTGCTAGCCTGCCCTCACATACCCTGGCCAAGAATTCCTTGATCGCAATTTTATAGTCGTGCACGACTTTGGTGCGCCGATTACATCGACCCTCGATTGCTTGCACGCAGGTATTGTAAATCTGGAAAAGAGGGGTTAGCGAGAGAGAGAGAGAGAGAGAGAGAGAGAGAGCGAGAGAGAGAAAGAGAGAGCGAGAAAGATAGTGAGAGATACAGGGAGGGAGGAGAGAGAGAGAGAGAGAGAGAGAGAGAGAGAGAGAGAGAGAGAGAGAGAGAGAGAGAGAGAGAGAGAGAGAGAGAGAGCAACGGAAAGCAACGCACCTCTTCCGGTTTCCAGGCATGTGAGCGATGCTCGGAGTGACCGCGCATCAGCTGGCATTTTCTGAAAAATGGGTTTTAGCCAAAACAAAATAATGCTACTTTTTTGCGTTTAATTTATCCTTGCTTAACTCGTTTAATTTGTTTAATGTCTGTAGTGGTAGTTATAGTTTTTTCTATACTTTTTACCGTTTTGCATTAATTTATCGTTTTCCTGAAACAATAACTTCTATATCTTACTAGGTTTGACTTAATTTTCACTTTTTTTTGAATAAAAATTCGCAGCAGAGCTTCTACTTTGTCTTCTATGAATTCCCTTTTCCGCTTTTTCCGGCTTTTTGTAGGCTATTTTCGAGATTTACGCTGCGAGCGGGAAATTCGATTCTTTTCTTTGTCCCCAAAGCCGTGTTTTTTGGTGCGCTTGCAGGCTCCAGAAAAACGGCTGAATTTGGTTTTTGAATCCGTTCTTTTTTGTTACTGGCAAGCAAGCAGGGATTCTTTGTGGAATCGGCTCTATTTAGAGCAGGCTAGCAGGGATTCTTTGAGAAAACGCCCCTTTTCCCGGCATCTTTAGGTTACCTGTCGATTTAACGATTTTATAAATTTTCGTATGGCAAGCTAGCGGGGATTCTTTGCGGAATCGGTTTTTTTGGGCAGGCTAGCAGGGATTCCTTGAGATAATCCTAAATTTTGCAGGAGTTTTCACCGGTTCCGCGCACCGCCCTCTTTTGCCGAAATTTCCAGGGCAAACCAGCGGTGATTCTTTGCGGAATGGCCCGATTTAGGGCAGGCTAGCGGAGAGCCTTTGAGAAAAGTTTTCTCCTTTAATTCCCACCTCTAATCGAATGTTGTTTGATGCTCTGCCAATTCAGCGGGGCTATTTGCCTTCACACATTTCTCGCTAAAGTCGAGCAGAGGTGTCGATAGGCGTTACACGGAAAAGGGGAGCCCATTGAGGGGAATATGGGCCCGAAAATGTCAGTCAAGTCAAGTGCAGCAGCCCGCGCGGCGTGGTTAATGAAAAATTCTGTTCGCCAACACATGGACACAACGAGGGAAGGAGGAAGGATACGTCTTTTGTGCCCCCAGGGCATTTTCTAGGGAAAAGGAGGAGCGCAGCTATTTTCTACCTAAGACCCAGCGTCATTAGGAGCTATCGTAGCTTAGAGCAAAGAAATATACAAAAATTTTAGGTTACGAATTTAAAACGATTACGGTACTCTCGGATTATTTTTTCTGGTTTCTTTTTCTTCTTTTAGTTTATTTCTTGAATATTTTCAGGGTTGACCCATGAAAAACGGGTCCCTGGTTCGAATCCCCGGTCCTGCAAAAATTTTGCTTTTTGCTTTTTTCAATATCTTCAGTAATTTTAAAGGTGTAAATGCGTTATGGAATTTTTCTGGCTCTTTTGAAGTAACTTAAAGAGTTAGGCCATGAAATTAGGGGCGTAGGTTCGACTCCTCGGACCACCCAAAGTTTTGCTTTTTGCTTTTCACGGTAGTTTTGCCATTTCAAATGGATTTGCCAGGCTTTTTTTATTTGATTTAAAGGTTTAGGCAATCCAATTAGGGCCGTAGGTTCGACTCCTTGGACCTCCGAAAGTTTTGCTTTTTGCTTTTTAAATATCTTAAGTGATTTTAAAAATTGCAATGTTTTATATAACTACTTTGGCTGTTTCGCGGCCACTTAAAGTGTTGGGCCCCCAAATTATGGGCCCCGGTTCGACCCCCCGGACCACCAAAAGTTTTGCTTTTTGCCTTTGCTAAGTTTTCAATTAAAAAGTTTTAATAATTTTGTTTTTATTTTTTTAGTAATTTTGTTTCTCTGCTCCCCGCAGGGTTCATAAAATCAAATTTCCATCCCAGCTCCAGAATTCTCAAAACTCGGGAATTCCGCTAAAAACCTGCTGACGTCGCCGACATCTGGGTAGGGCCAATCAGAAAGTGAATGCCCTTCCCCCTGGTGGGTCCCAAAGGGAAAGCCTTCTTGGCTGGATTCAAGCAATCCTGGCCTGGCGCCTCATTAGTAGGCACCTCATTTTGTCACGCCTTCCAATACCAAAAGGGGGCCGCCAAGGCAGAGGGCCCTACTTACTTCTTCTGGGTCCTTCTACTTCGTCTACCCGTCTATAGGAGCCATACGGAATTTTGACGGGGGTTTAAAGGGATTATGACAGCTAGAGGCTCCCAAATGTTTTTTTTTAAACGCGCCTCTGACCGTGACAATCGGTTTTCAGTTTTTAGAGCTGATTTGTATTTTTTCTTTTTTTAAAGGTGCCAAGAAGTCTGGCCCAAACCCGCAGCGCTGATTCCTGGCAAATAGATGCAGCAGCAACGTGACCGCACCGCAAGTTGCTATCAAAATGTCGAAATTGATAATGTCGAATTTTTTTGCGTAGGATTCGGGGTTTTCCGGCAAATTGGCTTATGTAAATGTCGACCTTATGAAACTTGGCCATTACGACTTATGATTTTCGACATTTTGAAAGAAAATTCGAAAAAAGAATTTTGAAAGAATTTCATGTTTTCTCCAAAATTTGACCTATTCGCAAGCAAACGAATTTGTCACGGCTTTGAGGCAGTCGTATGGTAATTCACGTTAACATCTGGCATCGCTCTTTTTTGGACTCTCTTGTCTTGAATTTTTTTTGGGTACGCTGAGCAATATTTATCTTGTTCAATTCCTCCGCCCTGTGCTGGACAGATGCGAACACCTGCTGGCAATACTTTAAATAAACGCGTTCGTTTATGAAAACTGCTAAGCAAAGATTTGGTATCGTAATGTCGAAATTTCATCATCTCGAAATTCCGAATGTCGACTTTTTTGCATAGGATTCGGGTTTTTTTCAGGAAAATTAGTTTAAAATCTTTTTCAAATTTAAATTCACATATAAATTAAATTTCAAAAATAGTTACATTTCTTAACTTTTTCAAAGGCTTTTAAGTTTTGCCACCAATTAGCTTAACTTCCTTTCCCCGTGCATCGAATAATTCCCCCTGCTTGCCGGCCATCCACTGGGAGTTCCGGGTCCAATTTCAAAAATTCCCAAGCCGCTCCGATTCCCGAAAGGGGATGGCAGATTTTAAAAAGGCGTCAATACTGACTATTTTCCATTCTGATGGTTTATGATACTTATTTCTGGATCACCAGTTATTGCTTAGCTAATTCTTGCCACCCGTTACGCGACTGGTTGTCCCAGTCCCTTTAAATTCGAGAGTTGGGGGCGTACCAGCAGAGATCATTTAGGAAAGGGCAGGCTAGCAGAGATCATTTAGGAAAGGGCAGGCTAGCAGAGATTCTTTAGGAAAGGGCAGGCTAGCAGAGATTCTTTAGGAAAGGGCAGGCTAGCAGAGATTCTTTAGGAAAGGGCAGGCTAGCAGAGATTCTTTAGGAAAAGGCAGGCTAGCAGAAATTCTTTAGGAAAGGGCAGGCTAGCAGAGATTCTTTAGGAAAGGGCAGGCTAGCAGAGATTCTTTAGGAAAGGGCAGGCTAGCAGAGATTCTTTAGGAAAGGGCAGGCTAGCAGAGATTCTTTAGGAAAAGGCAGGCTAGCAGAGATTCTTTAGGAAAGGGCAGGCTAGCAGAGATTCTTTAGGAAAGGGCAGGCTAGCAGAGATTCTTTAGGAAAGGGCAGGCTAGCAGAGATTATTCAGGGAGGGCAGGCTAGCAGAGATTTTTAGGCGCATTTTCTCCCCGTTCTCAATCGTTCCTGTCACCCTCCCTTTAAAATCCGAGTATGAGTGGGTGTGTTAGGTAACATATCTGCCATAGCCGTGTATTTGGGCTGAGGTGGACGGTGAGAGCGGTGGGCAAACAAAAGGGAGAAGACGGCGCTAAGGGGAGGGATTAAGGATTGAGAAAATGTGATGAGGGGTAAGGGGGGAGAGAATGGATATACCTAACGGACCGACAGACACACAAACAAACAGAAGGCAGATATCCATCCGGCGGGTTCGCGAGGACCCGGTTACTTACTGGGTTTTTTCATTTTGATTAATTTTAACATCCCAAATTAACGTTACTACTCAACTTTTAAATTACTACTAAATTTGTGCTGCTGCCCTTTTCTAAAGAATCTCTGCTAACCTGCCCTTTTCTAAAGAATCTCTGCTAACCTGCCCTTTTCTAAAGAATCTCTGCTAACCTGCCCTTTCCTAAAGAATCTCTGCTAACCTGCCCTTTCCTAAAGAATCTCTGCTAACCTGCCCTTTTCTAAAGAATCTCTGCTAACCTGCCCTTTCCTAAAGAATCTCTGCTAACCTGCCCTTTTCTAAAGAATCTCTGCTAGCCTGCCCTTTCCTAAAGAATCTCTGCTAACCTGCCCTTTTCTAAAGAATCTCTGCTAACCTGCCCTTTCCTAAAGAATCTCTGCTAACCTGCCCTTTCCTAAAGAATCTCTGCTAACCTGCCCTTTCCTAAAGAATCTCTGCTAACCTGCCCTTTCCTAAAGAATCTCTGCTAACCTGCCCTTTCCTAAAGAATCTCTGCTAACCTGCCCTTTCCTAAAGAATCTCTGCTAACCTGCCCTTTTCTAAAGAATCTCTGCTAACCTGCCCTTTCCTAAAGAATCTCTGCTAACCTGCCCTTTCCTAAAGAATCTCTGCTAACCTGCCCTTTTCTAAAGAATCTCTGCTAACCTGCCCTTTCCTAAAGAATCTCTGCTAACCTGCCCTTTCCTAAAGAATCTCTGCTAACCTGCCCTTTCCTAAAGAATCTCTGCTAACCTGCCCTTTCCTAAAGAATCTCTGCTAGCCTGCCCTTTCCTAAAGAATCTCTGCTAACCTGCCCTTTTCTAAAGAATCTCTGCTAACCTGCCCTTTCCTAAAGAATCTCTGCTAGCCTGCCCTTTCCTAAAGAATCTCTGCTAACCTGCCCTTTTCTAAAGAATCTCTGCTAGCCTGCCCTTTCCTAAAGAATCTCTGCTAGCCTGCCCTTTCCTAAAGAATCTCTGCTAACCTGCCCTTTTCTAAAGAATCTCTGCTAACCTGCCCTTTCCTAAAGAATCTCTGCTAACCTGCCCTTTCCTAAAGAATCTCTGCTAACCTGCCCTTT